CCCCCCCCCCCCCCCTGTACACGTCACGTATATATCCGCCCCAGCAGCATCTGCCTATCTTGTTTGGTTGAATTAGACCATATTTTATTGTGGCGTGCACCGGTGTTTTTTTGTGACTGTGGGTGCGATTTTATTGTGGTCGGCGGCGGAGCTGCGGACAGTGTCGAGAGGACGAACTAGTAGGCCAGGCCATTCATGGCGGTTACTTTCTTTCTTGCTGCGTGGTATGCATGTGCAGCCGCGCCGCGCTCTTTTTTTTTGTCATTTTTTCGGTCTTTCCCAGACGACGTATTGTGGTACGCAACACCCGACGTGCACCACGCTTGTGTGCTGGCTTTTTTTTTTATGCTCTTACAGGAACGCCAATCAACGTCTATTCAGCGGCCACGCGGTCATGCACGACGTGGGGTACCCCCGTTATCGAGGCTGCAACTGTGTAGAACCCTTGCAGATTTGGGTGGTGGTGGTGGGATAGTGGGATTTTTCGTCGCGACATTCGACGAGAGCCTATTCGCGCTGTTCCGTACAACTAACTCGCAAGCTGTCGGATGGTGATGATGAAAATGGTGTTTTGTCTTTTTTTTTTTTGTCTCTCGCCTGGTTTTGGCCGGTTCGATCCCCAGAAGTGACAAAACAGGCGTGATTTTTTGTTTTTTTCAGCTGCGAAAGGGGGAACAACAAACACCACCACACACGTTCGTATTATGTGTGACTGGCCTTCCCAGGATATACATGTAGGTTATGGCGTGATGGTCTGCCAACAACATGCGTTTTGTCCCCGAGTATTTTGGAAACAGGCGGTTTGTAGCCCTGCAACAAAACCGTCCAAGTCTCGAGGAGGATGTTGGAAGCTTCAACGGTAGGGGGGTGTACTCATGAAAACGCATGCCGCAGTCGTTAGGCTGTTGGCCTTGCATCCCTACAATGCCGGGGCTGAGCTATTTGCCGGGTTTCGCCGGCCTGATTAAACACTGCCAATCCTCCGGTCGTGTGGCATCTATTCTGTACGTCTGAACGAAGTTTGTTTACAGCCGGCTTTTGAAAGTGTGCGGGGGACATGTCACACACTACGCGGACTTTCGCCTCTCTTGGCCAAGAACGAGACCCCCCTCCCTTGTGCATGCAGAGCGAGCGGCTATATAAGATTGTTAAAAGCAAGCCGACGAATATCGTCGGCGTTGCTAGTCCCAAGCTTTTTATTTTTATTTTAGTCGCGTGTTGCGCGTGTGCTGACACCACGAACGAACGGGAAGGACCTCAATTAGCCGACAAACTACGCAATAATAATGGTCGTGATGGACGCGGATACGCAAAAAAAAAAAAAACACATACATCCGATCCTCGGGAAACGCGAAATGCAACGTCTACATACACACATGTCTGTCCCTTGTACACACGGTAGGCACTCTGTCTGTCCCTTTAACACGGTACGTACTGCTTTTGCCTACCACTCTCGTCCTCTCGTCCTCATCAACAACAAACAATGCAACTTGCCGCACAACAAGAGCCATCCCTGCAGGAAAAGCTGTACAAACAAGCAAAAAGCAGCTCCTGCTGCTGTAAGCTGCTGCTGTATGTACCATTTTTCAGCACGCACGAACAACAGATACAGCACAGGCGAAGGAGCTGAGTCTGCCTGTCTGTGTCTGCGTCGGCGTGAGTAGGGGTGGGTGTGAGGTATCGATAGAGTAACGACAGGATGTTTTTTTTTTTTATTCTTCTTATTATGACACAACGAATTCATCTCCATCATAGAGTCTGAGACAGATAAGCAATGAATTCATTGTGTATGGCATCTCGACGAGTATCGTCGCGTTGCCTGTCTGAAGCTTTCGATTTTTGCAGCGGGTAACAATCAAGGTAGACACCAAGAAGACGCCCGATGAGCACACAGGAACCGGGGGACCGCAAAAAACAAAGCATGAAAAACAAAAGATAGAAAGAAGCGAGAACAAACGAGCCACACGCGACAGGCTTCAGGGAGGAGGAGGCAAAAGAGCGCATAGAAGAAAAGCACCGTCGCCGCTCGCTCCGGACCGCTGGAAACTCTCACATAGCACTACATATGGAGCAAATATTAGGTAGGGCCCAAGTCCATTGCTTGGCATAACGCCCATCGCTTCCCATGCAGCAGCCGGATGCACGGGTAGCCTCTCTTACTCAGCAAAAAGCGAAACGACTGCGGTTGGTTGACGTTCGATGTTGTTGGGACCCTACCGGCGAAAGGCGAGAGAGAGAGAAAGAGAGGAAGACAAAAAGAAGAGAGCGGAGAGAAGACAAGGCATTGACTCTCTCGAGAAGACACTCACTCTCGTCCCTCTGGCCCGCCGCAGGCTGTCAGACATGATGTCACGTTGTGTATCGAACGGCGATATCCGATGTCGGCTCAGCAACAGCAAACAAGCACAACAACAAACAAATAAATATAGTCAGTCGCCGTGTGCGAGCTGTGGACTATCTTGTTGTAGGAAGTGAGAACTAAAAAGAGCACGACTACATGGCACCACGGACGAACTATTATCGCAATACGCTTGCCGTCCGCCATAGATGCGCACCGCTGCACGAACGAGTTGTTGGTTATCATACCTCACTACGTAGTATCTAAGATTCTGCTGCCATCTACCTTACTTATCGCTCAAATTACGACTACGCAGCAGACTCAAGGCAAGGAAGCAACACGCGTGCCGATGCATACCACCCATGCATGCAGCAAAACAAAAAAAGGCGGACCGTCTGTTGTTGTTTGTCGCTTCAACTAACTGTGCTGCCGACAACGACACTGGAAAAAAGTAGGAGACGCGCATCGCCTACGCGAGCAACGCGTGCAGCCCAAAGCAACAGAGACGATAACCTTACGACCTTTGCAGCACATTCATTCATTCCGAGCATATACTGCAGCAACCGCAAGTAAGTATGTGTACAGCAGCAGCCGCATGTTGTGTACAACAACGGTCACTCAGGAAGAAAATCACAATAACAAACGCAAAAAAAAAAAGGTGGTGGCGCGCAGCACGCAGGACCCTCTTTCGCTGTTCATCAATCGGCCATTCCCATCCATGGCGAAACAGACAAGGTACAGCAGTGAAGGCCGACTCTTGCCGGCCCCAGGAGGCGGAAGCTGCTCAAACTCGGGGACGGGTCATGATTTATTTGCGATTGATTCCTCACCGAACGGATATCGAACGATGACACTACTACTGTTTCAATTAGCTTCAGAAAAGCTTCAAAATTAATTGTGAAACTTGCAGAGTCAGTCATAGACATGGCAAGTAAACACCCCGTTCCAAAGAATATCTGTCGTTAATTTTTATTGACTTGCGGACCTTTCGGGGCCAGTTTGTTTTAGCGTACCTCTTTAGGGTAAGTTAGCCTGTGACCACGGGAATCGACCGCGTCAAGTGTTGGATCAGTACGGACATATGAAGGTACTGGGTAGAGAGAGATCGGAAAGGTTTTTAATGCGAAGACAACAACAACAACAACAACAACCAACAACATTTAAAACTGAACTAATGGGTGGTGGGCGGATGACCGGCGGACCCCAAAAAGCAAGCTGAAAAATATAATATAGACTATGTTAAGAATAAGAAAAAAAAGAAGGGACGACAAAGACAAGTGAGCCAGACGCGACAGGCTTCAGGGAGGTGGCAAAAGAGAGCATACGAAAACCACCGTCGCCGCTCTGAACCGCTGGAAGCTGTCACATAGCACAGCATGCAGCAAACAGTATAATAGGGGCCATGCCCCCGTTGCTTCAAGTAAAGAGGCAGCGCCGATCGCCTCACATACAGCAGCCGGGTACGTACTACACAAATAGCCTCTTACTCAGCAAGAAGCAAACGATTGCGGTTGACGTTCGATGTTGTTGGGACCCCAACGGCGATAACAGGCGAGAGAGAGACAGGTGCTACTACTACGTAGACCAACAGAAGAAAGCGTAGAGAAGGGATTAATTAACTCTCGAGACCCTAACCCTAACCCTAACCCTAACCGAAGACACTCACTCTCGTCCCTGTGGCCCACCGCAGGCTGTAACGAACGGCGACATCCGATGTGCGCTCAGCAACAACAAACGCAACAAACCAAATATAGTCGCCGTTTCCGAACTAACTGTGGAGACTCTCTTTCATCACTTGTGGTATGAAGTATGAAGTGACAACGAATTAGAAAATGATGACGAGAAGAAGCACCACGGACGAACTAGCTTGCCGTCGCGATAGACGCGCACCGTTCCACGAACGACCAGTTGTCAAACCTCACTACGCAAATAAGATTGTCCTGCCATCTACCCCTTATCACTCAAATCACGACTACGCAGCACACTAAAGGTAAGGCAGCAACACGCTTGCGATGCTTTACCACACCCATCCATGCATGTAAGGGAAGAAAAAAAAAACTATGGCGGACCGTCTGTTGTCTGTATCTTCAACCGTGCTGCCGTTGCTTTTCTTCATGGATATCGGCACAGAGAAAAAATGAGGAATGCGCATCTCCTACGCGAGCACGGCGTGCAGCCCAAGCGACAGAGACGATAACCTTATTATGACCTTTGCAGCATCTTCCGAGCATAACAGCAGCCACCGCATGTGTACAACGGTCACTATAGACTAAGGAAGAAAATCACAAAATCACTGGTTATCGCCCCACAGCGAGCGATAGCTGCTCAAACGACTGTGAGAGGTCTTGAAATCGTCTCAGCTACCCAGAACTGCTGGTAGTTGCCGGAGATTTGCAGGTACGTACTGCTTTTGCCTACCACTCTCGTCCTCTCGTCCGCACATCAACAACAACAATAAATGCTAATTTTCGCACCACAAAAGAGCCATGCAGAAAGCTGCAACAACAGAACAAAAGCAGCTCCTGCTGTATGTACACAGAATGTCCAGCTGTGTGCTGAGGTCGGTCAGCATCTCGAGAGAAGCGTGGCCAGCAAGCAAGGCTTGGCGCGGGACACGAGAGAAGCAAGCAAGGCTTGGCGCGGGCGGCGAAAAAAAGAAGACGACTCTATATAAAAAGATGTGTAAAAAAGAAGGCTTGGCGCGGGCGGCGAAAAAAATGAAGACGACTCTTATACAAAAAGATCTATAAAAAGAGGACCCTCAACGACAAGTCAACCAATCTGGTCGTTCCGATGTGACGATGTAACGCAGATCTTCTTGTCGACGGAGAAACTGGTTATCGCCCCACAGCAAGCGATAGCTGCTCAAACGACTGTGAGAGGTCTTGAAATCGTCTCAGCTACCCAGAACTGCTGGTAGTTCTCGGAGGTTCGCAGTGTGGGCTGAGATCGGCCTTTTCGACCCGGTCGGGCAAGGGGTCCGCTATGCTACTGAAAACTCCACAGACGGAAAAAAAAGACTTTTGATCGACTGAGACCCAAGCTAGAGCTTGGGAATTGCTAGTCTGTCTCAGACTCTTTTCTATGATAGAGATGGTTTCGTTGTGTCATATTAAGAAAAAAAATAAAAGAAATTACAAGGGACACGAGACACGAGACACCTCTGATTGATTGAGCGGTGTACTATTATTGTGTTCCCCCCCTAAATGGATACACACTCCTTGCTAATGGATACACACTCACCGTGTGTATCGTCTGTTATACCCACCATTTGGTGCAAAGAGGGATCTGTTATACAGCAGTACCCACCATTTGGTGCAAAGAGGGAAAAACAATTTTGTGGTATGCAGGTGGTGTTAGATTTACAATCAATCGAGAGGAAATCGAGGTCGGATTACCAATCGTGCGAAAGGATCTTTAGGGGGTTCGGGGGTAGGGTTTCCGGAAGGTTCGGAAAGCATGCCGTACTTTTTGGGCGCGCGCGCACGCGGTTCTTGACGGTTTGGAGGTGGTACTCGGCTAGCTCAGCTCTGCTAGCTTGCACACTGAAGCCCGAGCTGTGCAGGCTTGCAGAGCCCGCCTGCTCGTATGTTCAGTGGAGTATGTTCCTGCGCGCACAGGGGACTCATGGTGTGTAGGGGAGGAGAAGAATGCTGCTAGAAAAACATGTCAGGACCGCCGAAAGCAATCAATTAGTCTACAATGTAGACTGTTGTCGGGGGCACCGATTTGTATGTGCGCGCTACCGGGCTGCCGGCCGTTCGGTAGGGCGTGTACTGCTGCTGTACGAAGAGCGAGTGGAATATCTAGCTGAGTCTAGGTGCTGTAGGTCTAGGCCTTTGCACAGCTTCGAGATGACCGGAACCGCTTTCTGCGCTGGCTGTACACGAAAGAAACAACCGATTGCCCCGCAACGCTAGAGGTAGGCGCATCAGCATCCAGATCTGCCGCTGCCATCTGCTTCCAGATTGATAGCTTGCCAACGTCCAACCAGGCACAACACTGCACAACAACCCATACGACGTCTGAAGAAGCATGTTTCCCCCAATCCC